ATTGTGAATCTTGATGTCATGGATTCCAAATCAAATAAAAATTAAAATATCTACTATGTATTATTTTTCAAAGGACTTTTTTTTCTAGTACACAACGTCTTAGTTAGTTCTTCAAATTCAATGATTGGGCAATTTTGAGGTTTAGTTTACCTTCAAGTGGAAAAAATAGTTACACTCCCCAAACATTTTAGGTAGACAGATTATGAAGAAGAAGAAACTTTGTGTGTAACTCAAAAAGTTTGCAATTTATGGTCGATTACACCCATGATTATTTAAAAGTTCACTAAATTTCTCTCAAAAATAAAAACAAATAGATAATAAAAATCCAACCAATATTTGCAAGGATTCAGACAACAGTATTTGATACACATCTTTTGTTCCATTTTGAGGAATGAATTGTGGTAATTCAACCAAGATAAAGAATACCTTATTCCATATCACCTTGCATTTACTCATTTCTATATTATTTTTTATTTGTTCCCCAATATACTATGTGAATTATTTGCATGGGCTAACTAGTAACTAATATTCTAATTATACACAATAATCACTCTTAGTAACTCCTTTATACAGAAAATATGTACCACCAGTTTATTGCAAAAAGTCACTAAGGGCATTTTTTAAGAAAATAAACTTTTAAGTATACTTTTATGAATTTTGGCTTCAATTGTCAATATAAAAACACAGTAAGCATATCAAAACGAAACAAATCCTTTTATATATCAAATATAGTTTCTGTAAGTGCATTATATTCTCATTAGCGAGTGAAAATTTATCAAAATACTTAGTGATTTAAAAGTATAAAATGTTACTTAATGACTTTTTATAAGAAATTGTAGTAAATAATTTTTTTTTTTATTAAACTTTTGATTGGCTTAGAAAATGTAATCACAAAAAATATTTTTAGTGTGAAATATATAATTTTGATTTAATCATTTTTATGAGGTGTGACTGATGGTTTTATTTAGAGTGTTTCAATATTAATGTCTGTTGTCTTTTTTTTATTTTTTTTTTATAATATCCATGTAGATAATGTATCATGTAGTATAAATGTGTTTTTTTTTGGTCATAATTCTACAATCAAAAAATAGTAGATGAGAAGTAAATGTGTAGAAGGTTACTTGATGTTAATGAATTACAATAAAATTTTTATTTTCAGCTGAAGGAAATGTTTTCGTTTATTATCTTCAGAAAGGTTTTGGTTTCACTATAGAAGATGTTGGAGTTTATAACTCATATAAACAAATGGTTGGAGCAGTGAGTAAGTAAAAAATTATTCAGCAAAAGTAAAATTTAATAATATAAATTCTTCTTTAACAACTAATAAGATTAATAAATTTTAGGCACTGCTTTAGTTCCTCCCATACTTACAAAGTTGTTTAAATGGCAAGATTTTAGAATCGGTATTGTCTCTTGTACAATGACAATTATCTCATGCGTTTCAATGGCTTATGCCAGTACAAAGTGGGAATTAATAACATGTGAGTTCTGTTTCGTAATGCATAGTCATAAAATAATACAATCAGTTTAAAATATTGATTTATTTATTTATTTTAGATGCTTTATTTGATTTTATGAGGACAATACTCTTTGGCCTTCCAAAGTCAATCATTTCGAAATGTGTGGATAAAAATGAAATTGGTTGGTAATAATAATAAAAGATTTTATATTTATACGTATATATATTATATTAAATTTAACAACATATTTTTCTTAGGTGTGTTTGTCAGTTTTTGCTTTATTGGCGAGTGCATTTTACCAATTGGTATGTTTTACCTTTACGATTACATCTATACTGCAACCTCTACAAGACTTCCTGGTGCATTCTATTTAGCCAGTGCTTCTACTATTGCAGTTTCTTTCATAATTTACAGGTATTTCTATTTTAACTTAATATTTAACAACAATATATTTATATTTATGAGATTAGTAGAATGTCCAGTTCATTAGCAATGTATGGTCCCTTACACTGTGTTCAGTTTAAGGTTTTGTTTTCCAGTTCATAAGTACTTTTAATTTCTTCTCTTGCTTTTTATCTGTGTTCAGTTGAGACCATGTGAATGTTTATGTATAGTTATGACCAACTGTCGATGAGCATACTCTACTATCTGAAAGTATATAAAATATATCATTGACAGTTGGTCATAACTATGCATTGTATATACCTTTACATAGAATATATTCATTGACCATTGGCCACAAACTATTTACAAACATTGACATGGCCTTACTTTGACCTGAATATATACAAGAAGTAAGAGAAGCAATTAAAAGAATTTATCACTAACTTGAATCTTAGACGATAGGTAAGAGAACCTGTAATCTAAAATTGTTGAACATTAGGTATAGAATCGATAATTGAGAAGTCCTGTTTAGTAGTCAGTACAGTTATATTATATCTTCTTCCAATCTTAGCATGTTGGCTCCATGTGAGGTTTTTTGTTTAGGGTGAAACCAAGATATGGTTTCATTAAATAGGATAAACTGTAGTTTCCAGAAGATAATATTAGTAATTAAAGCTTTTTTGAACTCAGAAGTAATGATTTGAGGAATAATGTTTAAAGTAATTGAATATGTGTATTTAAAATTAATCCAATATGAACATTCAAAAGCTTGTCATATATTCATAAAGTAATAACCTTACTTTTCAAGATTTGAGGATACTTGGCTGACAATGCAACTTTTTGATAATGTTGAATAACTTTTAAGAATGAGACCGAAAATCTTTACATTCGTTCTATTTTTTGCTAAAGGACTAGATTTTTTTTTTATATTTCTTTTTGCCTTTTTTTTTTTTTTGTTTTCTGTGAGGCACATTTTGTCTTCTTTGCTTTAATACATTAACTTTAAATATTTCCACACAAAGCTAATGAAACATTGTGTTCTTGAAACTAACAATGCATTATTCAATTATTGTTCAAATATTGGATAGTAGATATATGTTATAAATTAACGACATAGTGAGTGAGATGAGGATGATATTAAGCAATTGAGCTTGAATTATTGAGGTTATCATATTTATAATAATATGGTTTTAATTTTCAGCTTCTCTTCTTGTATCTATAAACCTTTAAAAGATAGTGATGAAGAAATAACAAATGTTCATGATGACTTGGAAAAATGTGGAAAGGAGTCTGAGCTACAAGAGAACCATAAAAACAATTCTTGGATTAATATGGAAAAAGTAAATAAAGAAATTGTAAAATAACTAGTTGTGGTTTTATTTTTATATACATATGCTCTTGTATGGTGAGGGATTTGTTAAATTTCCTTGATAAAAACAAGACATTAAGAACATTCAAATAGTTGATTGATGTTTAACTTTCCTTGAAGTTTTTATGATAAATAGTTGTAGATTTTAATCATTTGGTATAAAAATAATCAATCCATATAATTTTCATCTATCTCCATTATCTATTTTAAACAGGAGATATTTATCATTGCCCAAAAGATGAACATTAGTTCATTATCTATAAATCGTTTAATTATATGTAAAAAAAAAAATATATATACGCTTCTATCTATCTATCTATCTATCTGTTTATCATTGTTGATAATATTAAAAGTGGAAATTAAATTAATATTTATTGTACCGGCACTTGAAATAGTCTTCAAGTGTTAAAAACCTTTATTTATTTTTTAATTAGTTCTGAAATTAAAAAAACGTGAGCATGATAGGCTAATGTCCCAGTTGGTCTTCATGTTGGATTTTTAAGAAGTTCTTGGTGAAAACTTATTCGGAATTTTATTTATATAATATTATCATGTGTATAAACAATGCAATACTATCAAATGTATAAACAATATAATATTATCAAGGAAGTATATTTAACATACCTATCTGGTGAAGCATACGCTGTAATTATACCTACTGCAAAAGAGTAGGATCTGTCTAACTTCAATATCTTTGTGAAATATTTATATTCAACGTAATGTCGTAAGGCAACCTTTGGAAGCTAACATTACCTAAGAGCCCATCATGGGTCATTTCAAAAATGGTAAATTTTAGGATTTAACAATTCAGGGCACATTAGGTTTCACAGATACATAGTCAATTATGTTTTGATGTAATTTTTTACTAAATATTTATTTATGTCATTGTTGCTATAATTAAATGTACAATGTTGGATCAATATTGTTTATTGATACTAAGGGTACTTATCATGATCAATAGAAGCCATTAGGTTCAAACGATGATCAACTTATTATATTGAAAATAAATATAGAAACTTGCAATAATTACGTAAGATCATTGAAAAAGACCCTGTGCGTTTTATGATATTCTTTACTTGAGTATATGTTTAATATAAATGTTGATTAAGATAAATTTCATAATAATGTTTTGATCCATTCAGTTTTATAAAATGAATTTTTTTTTAGCTATATGTTTTATAAAAATATTTTGAAGTATATATATTTATGCCCTTTTTTTATTTCATTTTAATTTTGAAAGGTAAATTCTATATTAGGTAGGAAAAACTTTTAAAAAAAGATTAGCTATCAAAGTAAAAGAAGTAAAATATCTAATATAATAAGTATAGTCACAATAACCCATGTGAACACAATGAGGGTAATTTTTTCTTCATTCAATGGTGTTTAATTTTTTTAGTTTCTAACTTAATTTAAAATAAAACTTATTGAGAATGAATTAAAGCATATTTACAACCCATAAATCTAAAAACAAATAACACAATTATTGTAAAACTTGAAAATAATCAATAAATTAATTTTAAAATAAATTTGTTATACTTGAGAATTTTTTGTTGACAATGAAAATACATAGTATACCACCTGGGTTAAAAACTAAAGTGGTCATATGTTTACAAATTTGACATTGTTTACATTTGTTTAGTTTAAAATTTTATTAAAGTTTTGAATTTGGAAACCTTGAAAATATTTACAAATGATTCCATTAAATTTTGTTTTTATATTTATTTGGACCATTATGTGTTTTTAAAATAATATTAAACTTACTATAGTTTTTCAAATAAATAAACCATTGCATTTTCATTATTCTGATTATCTTTGTATTTGTAATGAACCATTGAAACTATAACATGATTTAAATGAACAGTTACAAAATTCTTTATATCAAATATTTACTAGTAGATAGTGTAAATTAAAAAAAATGTCAGTTATACAAAAAGATTTATCTATGAGTTCTTTGCCTCTTCAAGAAAACCAATCCTTGTCTAATAATTTATGTATTCATACACAACCTGATGGAATGACATTGCAGAACTTGCCAATAGCAATTCTTGAAGAAATACTTAGTTACTTGAGTTATGGGTTCTGTCTTTCCTTGAGGACACTATCCACTTCTTTTTATGAGACAGTTTCAAGGAAATTCAGCCTTGGCTATAGAAATTTGTTTGTGAGAATCAGAAAAAAACTTCTTAGTATAGAGTCTGAAAGAGAACTGGCAACTTGTTTGAGTAAGGTTTAGGTATAATAATTATGAATTTTGTTTTTCTTATTTTACAAAAATATTTAACATAATAATAAATCAATTTGAGTAAAAAAAAAATCAAATTATTGCAATGAAAAATGCCATCACAGTCTTAGATATTTTAAATACAAATCATTTATAGCTTCTCAGTTGATTTTTTTCTTTCATACCAATTGCAACATACCTTCAATAATGACCTTTTGATAGGGTATATAGAAAAAATTACCGTTTTATCAAATTTGAGATTTAAAAGGACTGTTAATATTTTAATCCTATTAAAGACTTAATAATCCTCTTAGAGCATTCTCTAAGCTTGTTTAATCTCATTCGACTTCTTAAAAAAAACATCAGTTTAGTTATTTGATTCAAAGAAGAAACATGACACTGTCCTATGAAATTCTCATAATTTTAAGGCAATACTTGACAAAAAATTTCACAGCCTCTAAAGCAACTCGTGAAATTATTAAATTTGAAGTGGAAGGCGTCCTTAACCAGCACACTGAACAGGGTTAGTTTGAAAAATTAAGCTGTGGAGATATGATATTGGAAAGGAAGAAGGACTCCAGGCTACCATTAATGGATATTGATGAAGTTCTGCAGGAAGCTGTTGAGTCAAATCTGTCCAAAAGTATTTGCGAACTTGCCACGGAGTTTGGTATATCGAAAGATATTGTTAGTCACAATCTACTCTCCACGGGGAAGGTGAAAAAGAGCAGTAGACTGGTCCATCATGAACTTACTCCTCAGAAATCAGCTAAGAGATTAGAAATTTGTGAAAATTTATTGAAAAACCATTGCCTGAAAAACCCCTGCCTCATCCAATATATAGTCCATACCTCACACCATCGGATTACTACTTATTTAGATCCACGTCTCATTTTCTTCAAGAGAAAAATTTTGATAATTTTGTGGAAGTTGAAATTGCGGTCCAAGAGTTCTTTGACAACCATCCTGAAGAATGGTATCAGCTTGGGATCGAGCAAATGGCTAGCAGATGGCTAATGGCGGTAGATAACAATGGATTGAGTATATACTTTGAGTATTAATTGTATTCTACATTGAAAAGCGGTCTTTTTTTTTTATACACCCTATTATTTATTTATTTATTTTTTAAAGCTCAAGTCTGATGTGTGATAAAAAAAATGTTTTATCATTCATTAATTAATGATGGACAATTTATTTGATAATTTTAACATAATTTTTCTGTTTTTACTTTTTCTCCCAGCAATATTAACCTATCAAATTTTATTTAAAATATATATATCCTCACTCTGCCTAAGTGGTAAAAAGGAAATAAATATGATGATGTGTGTCCGGTAACTCCCGGGCGTCCCTTGCAACTACTACCTCCCATGTTAATTGGGGCTTGCCTCTTTCTCTGGTCCCATACAGTCTTCCATCCAGCAACCTCCTTGAGATCTCTTCTAATGGTGTCCGTGCAACATGGCCATAAATCTCTGCATTGCTTCTCCTTCACAGCTCCAAATATTCAGTTGACGGATTTTCCTTTCAAAAATAAGAAGAGCCTTTCCGACTCCGAGCTGCGTAAGTTAGGACAGCCCTGATAAAAGACCTATATGATTGACATTTGGTAGAGCGAGATTATGCTTTCTTTGAAGATGTCTGTTAAGCCCAAAGTGGCATTTATAGCATAAAATAGCATTAATGAGCCGCTGGAAAATTTACATAGAAATTCTGTTTCCAGATGTTATCACTGATCTGAGATACTTGAACTCCTCCACATGATGGGAGGTATACAGACCCATCTCTACTGGTTCTTGTCCTCCTGTGTCTGCTCCAAGTCCTGCTCACAAATATTTAGTTTTTTCTTGATTAACAATCATTCCCATCTCTTTTGCAGCCTTAGCCAACTTAATGAACTCACTTTTTAGTGCCTAGAATGACCCTGCAATGAGATTAACACCATCTTAAAAACCAAGTACTGAACAGAATTATTAAAATAGTGTCTATTATCTGTGTTCTATAGTCTGTTTATGATCTTTCCCTCATGATCCATCACTCCCAATACCATATCTATGCAGATGATTTCCAAATATACCTGTCCTTCCTTCTCCCCGAGCCATTATCTGCCCCAAAAAACTTCAAGAAGACTTGGATGGGATTTGTGACTGAGCGACAGCTAACAGGTTGAAGTTGAATGCGGAAAAGACGAAGGCAAACATAATATACTCCAATCACCTCCTTAAAACTGTTCCTAATATTCCAACTCCTCAAGTTCCTACATGATAATCCCATTAAATTTTACCCCACCATCAAAAACCTTGGAATCAACCTTTGATCAAACACTTTCCTTGAAAAACCATGTATCCAATAACTCCCACCATACTTTTTCCAGCTTTAAACATCTAAATTACTCCTGTCACCTATTTTCCCTTGAAACCCATAGGCTCCTAGTCACTTTCTTAATATTTATTTCCCCTACTTGACTATTGTTCTACGGTATATGAGGGCGTCTCTGGAGATCTCGAGGCAAAACTAAAACGTTTGATAAATTACTTAATACGATTCATCTTTGGGATCCCAAGGGACGCCTCTGTTTCCCGTTTTTATGCATAGTTGAAGTGGCTTTATTATTCCTACCATCATAAGTATTTCCTAGCATCCTTCCTCTTTCAAGTCATTCTATCCCACCATCCTTCACATCTCCGAGCTGCTTAAATTCAAATTTTCTGTTCATTCCAGCAATACTCATTCCTGGTCTTCTGATTTATACTCAAGGGCCCACTAAACTTCTGCTTTCAACAGATCGTTCATTATCTTATCCTCCATCCCTTCCTACATCCGTCAATCTAATATTCTCCCTACCTTTAAATCCTGCCTGTTCAATCATTTCTTATCCATCCAGTCTCCATGAAATTATAAATAGATGTTACTCTAAATATGTATATAAATTATTAAATCGTTCTTAATCATTTTTACATCATGTTTTTCATTTCATATTATTAACTGATTAGAGTTAGAAAGTAATTTTTTTATTATAACTATTTAATTACTTTGTTTTTTTTGCTTATGCATCTCTAAAGCTCCTTATCCAACATTTCTGTCTTTCTGTAATATTCTAAAGGGACTCATCCCAGAATAAATAAAGTATTATTATTATTATTATTATTCTCGAGTGACTTATGACCTTTTCTAAAGCTAAATTGAATAGCAGACAGGCGAGCCATATACCCATCACCCTTTCTGACACCTGTTGCGGAAACAAACTCTAGTGAAATATCTGACTGTACCCTAGAAGCGCAGTTCGCATCATCCATATTAGGCGGAGAACTTTCAACAGTAATCCTATTTCAGAGACAGCTTTAGGCCTTTTTATACTGTCATACGCATTTCGAAAATTAACAGACAGGTGGTGGGTAATCTTATAGTATGTGATTTTTCTAGAATCATCCTGATGCTGAATATCTGATCAATCGTAGATCTAACCCTTCTGAAACCAGCCTTTAACCTTACGTGTAATCTTTTTCCTACTATTGAGGCATTTATTTGAGCAGAGGCTTCCAGATGGATCGCTCGAAGCTTCATGTCCCATGCATCTTAACCTCCGTGTCTTCATAACATGAGATATTCCTGACCAGTTTCTGTAAGCAGCCCTTAATTGGTCTTTCTTCTCCACATGTTAGTATTCTGATTGCTCCAATTATTGTGCAGAGGATTTTTTTTTTTCATACCTTTTAATACTTTTTTCAAGTGCACTGATTAGTGTCCAGTTCTCACAGCAATATATTAGAACTGACTTTATCGTAGCGTTGTAAATACTTAGTTTGAGATTTCTTGAAATTTTTTGTGATCACAATACCTTTGAAAGGGTGAAAGCTCTGTTTACACTTGTTATATGATGGTCTATTTCTGACTATTGGTTATTCATTGAGATTATTGTGGAGCCAAGGAGCCATCTTATTAAAACATGTTATTATGATACCTACCAAATATTAATTTTATTTTTCTGAAATTATAAAAAAATTGTTATAAATAAATATGATTCATTAGTCAGATTAATATTAGAGGTCATATAGTTGGTTTATTGCAAGAAGTTATTGGAACAAACTTACATAATTTGGTTGAGGTTCATCAGCTCTTTAAAATAACATGATGAAGTCACTAGGAGTATCAGTGTTTCCTTATTGCAGGGGAGAGATGGGACTATCAATCCAATATCTCCTCACATGTTGGCTTTATTTATGTTGCCATATAACTTTAGATATAACTACGAAATGGAAAAGTAGTCATGAAATTTTAGCATTTTTTATGCCATTATTTCAAACATGGCTATATCACTACTAAAGGCATTTGGAAAATAATTAAAATGGAGAGAAAGACTTGTATGCCCTGGACTGGCTTGCTTTGATATACATTTTAATAGGATCCAATCCTTAAAAGTGGTTCTCATTTAAGCCATCTTAGATTGGATAAAATCAACAAATTTTTGGTTGTAAATTTTATAATATTAAAACTTAGTTAACATACTGCTGTATGATTTTACGGAATCTTATAACCATACTAGTATTCATTCCTTAATAGCAGTAGGGAAGGGAAGTATTGTAATTAGGTTGAATTGTTCTACATGAATTTTTTAATTGATTATTAACAGGCCCTATGTTTCAGAGACTCTTCAATCTGAAAAAAACATTTGAGTCAGTGCTAAGTAAATCTGTGCCACGATTATTTTTCCAATGGGTGGTCCAAATTAATAACAATAATAATAAGGCCCGACTTTGTGACTTATTGTTTTGTTTAGTAGGTGTTTGGCCATTGGTGCATGTGAAATGATTTGAGTGCTTTCTTTGGCATAAGGGCAGTGCAATAAGGAAAAATGCGTTTTTGTATAAACTGTTAGGCAAAAACGGTTCTAATGATTTTGATGAAACTTGCTTTTCAAAAAATTTTCATATATATATAGAATAAAAAAAAAAAAAAAAAAAAAAAAAAAAAAAAAAAAAAAAAAAAAAAAAAAAAAAAAAAAAAAAAAAAGCAGAAAATGTTAGGAGGAAAAGAAAATTTTTTGGGGGCAAAATTTATAAAGTATACTTTTTATGTTAAATTTTAGATGTAATCTTTTGATAGGTAATTAAAAACTAAAAAAAAATGTCTTAATTGGACTAGTATTAGCAAAGTTACAATGTATTGAATTTTACACACTGATTACAATTTGTTAATATAATAATATAAAATAGACTTCCTCAAATCATAGAAGTGAATGAACCCACCAGATATTTTTTCCTGACAATACATTTTAAAATTAAGGCATTTGTTTAATACCACTTCAGAGCTTATTCTTAAAATCTCATTCCAAACCAGTGGCAATATTTAATTTTCCCAGATTTGATTGAAAATGTTTCTTCTGAGAACTTAATTTTTTAAGGTTCATTGTTTATGAAAAGGTATTTAAATATATCCTAATTCATCATTTTTTGTGTTACTAGGAGAGTTGTCTGATGGAGAAGAAATAATGGGTCTAATGATGCATCATACTGTTTTAAAACTACTTGAATCAGAAGCTCTGATCTTGAAAGCAATATGCCACAGATATGTTGAAAAAGGGTTATGGAATTTTACATCTCCATGTGGGGCTAGACTTTTGGACTATTTTCATAGTCTTATTACATTTTTAGCTGTAGACAATTTAGATACAAATCTTTTAGACCCTAATATCACATCTGAATTAATGTTTTTATCGGGTCAGTTAATAGATCATTTTATGTGTGGTATTGAACCAACACTAGATTTAGTGGTTCCATTCGAAGTGAAATTAGCTGATATTTTAGATTCTTGTAATGATGCAAGTGTGAATTACCAATATTCTGAATGGGATATTGGATACAGGCTGAATATCAATTATTATTTTAAAAATTTAGCTTCACTTCAGTTCCCATGGGATGTATTTCAAGATGTATCCACTGAAAATAAACTTAAACATATCTTGAAAACAATGAAAAGTAGCATTCGCTACAGAAATTACTGCTATCCGTTAAGGGAAGCATGGTATGTAGAGGATATATTTGATGTCAGAGGTATCAATGGTCTGAAGAATTTCTTAAATGAGCCCAGACATTATCACTTGAGAGGAAATCAAGAGCAACCGTGTAATAAAGTGCATGATTGGTATGATTGGCAAATTGGAGAAGATGGTTGGACAAAGGTGTATGATGAAATACACCAACAAAAACCATATTCTTTAAATACACACAGAATGGATATTGAAATTAAAATAGAAGGTGGACCCAAACCACTAAAATTTCAACATGATTTGGTAGGAGAAAGAGAGGACGAAATAGGGATATGTGATATTTATTTGTATGTTCAGCATCCCTCAAAATGTGACTTTTGTAATCATGTTAGCTGTATTAAAATTCAAGGAAAGAATGGGATTTATTCCATTCAAGCAAATGATCACCATCAACATGATTCTTGAGTAATAAAATGAACATTCTGCTATGTAAGATGGATGTACTGTCATTTTGATGTTTTTAATTGTTGAAAACTAAGGGTTTATAAAGGAGGCTTTTGTTTTGTAAAAGTTTAAATTATTATTATTTGTTTTTATATGCTTTTAGACAACACTCAGTTATTTAAAAAAAAATTACTACATTGGGTAATTTTTAAAAAATTAATTTTAACAAAAATTTTAAGCTACTTAAAATAATTCTTTTAGCTCTCCAAATAAGTATAATTTGCTTTTTACCATACATTCTTAGCAAATACTTCTTTATATCAATTATTCTTGTTATACATAATTTTCAAAGTAAGTACCGATCGAAGTAAATTATATATATAAGTATTTAAATTAAAATTATAATATAACTTTATTAAAATACCCTTTTATATAAACACAACATCTGTTTCTTTGACTAGCATTATGGATAGATAACTCACATAATAATAACAACGATTATTTGACATTAACAAGAGTACATTTTATAAATAAAGTTTTTCATCAGAAGAATATAATAGTTATGTGAAGAGAATAGGCAATTTGATTCAAAACTGGCTCATTCCGCTTGTTCCTGAAATTTTTTTTATTTTTTACAAATTGTTCACTGCTCATCATCTATAAAATCCATATTAGCCAAAAGGTTCTTAATCTAGTATAAAAATTTGTTAAAACTTATGGGTTTATCTCAGTCAAATTGGGTAAGAACATATGCTTTTTCTGTCTCTTTTAGGAGTTTTTAAACTGGACTGAGTCAGTGAAACTAATTAACTCACATAAAACGTTTGGCCTACATAAAAGTGACAGGTGACAACTTTTATACCAGTCAGATTTTATTTATTTTATTTTTTTGTTGCCTCTACCCTGTAGGTTCATTGGCAACATCTTTAGATTAAAATCTGTTATAAAATTTTATCGCTTTTAAGAATCTTAATGTTTTTTTAACTGATCTTTTGATGTCTTGTAGATTTTCTTTTAGACTTTATGCCATGTCCAACTTTTTCCTACCAGTTTCAAATATAGGGTAGTCTTGTATAATATGTTTTACAGTCCTTTGGACATTGCAGCTCTCGCAGGTCGGAGGATTGAGTCCTCTTAGTAGGTAGGTGTATGAGATCTCACAATGTCCAATTCTTAGTCTGCAAAGGGTTGTCTCTTCGTTTCTAGAGGATTGGTGGGAGGTTTTCCATTTTAAACAGTGGGTTTAATTTTAAAATTATTATACAACTTTAATAAAATACACTTTTATATAAACAAAACATCTGTTTCTTCGACTAGCATTATGGATAGATAACACATAATATTAAGAATGATTATTTTGAATTTAATAAGAGTACCAAAAGGATCCTAATCTAGTATAAAAATTTATTCTGCACTTCTTTCCCGGTGTTGAGGTTGTGGTTCTAGTTTTCGAGCAGTGTTGATTTTTATTAATCCCTTGATTTTAGTGGGAGATTTAGTTTGGTTTTACATAGAGTTCTTATAGTAACATTATTTCTTTTCTTGTTATGTTCATCATCCTGCATACATTTCTCAGAGTCAGGTGTATGTATTAGTGTTTTCTTATCTGTATATTTATTAATAGGTGATACTGCATCATTATTTTCATAAATTTTTACCTGTCTATTGCTATACTTCAAGTAATTTGGTGTTTCAGACTCAATAACTACTGCCTAATTCTTTGCTGCTTCCTCCAAATAATCTTCTATAACAACTGTGCTTGATCCTGGCTCAAGTGCTGTTGATATGAACGTGTGTTCCGTGGTTACTGGATTATTTCCTTTAGGCAACTCTGTTTCTAGACATTTGCTGCAAAGTGTTCCGGTTTATTACAAAGGTAACAGATCAAAACATCTTTAGCAAGAAAAATCCGTTGACTAATTTCCTGATAGGAAAAAGTAAACGAGCTGTTTAACTTATTTACATTATCAGCCGCTTTGAACACTTTTAACGTTGCCGGAACGCTAAAAAATGGCTGCTATTTTCCTTATACCCGAAACGTAGAAAGATTATTGGTGATAGTAGTTTAATACCTAGCTTCTGAATTTCCCCTTCCGAAACTGCTTGAGGTATGAAATTTATAGCTGCTGGATTGACAGCTAACTTTATAACTGCTAGGCATTTATTAAAAAATAATGATTCACTTTCCTGTGTCAACCAGTTGTTTGATTGGATAGTCTCCTATCCTCGTGCAAGAGTGCTTCCCTAGAAGCATATCAATCTGCTGCTTGTTATGCTTAGGGATATCTGTTCATGTAATCTAGTGATTAAAAGTAACATAATATAATTATTAGGGTGTTTAAATTTGCTTTGATTTTCTGTTAAATTTTTAACAAAATCTTTTCAAGATCTGAAAAATAATACGTTAAGTGGTTGACCAATTGTAAGTTATAAAATTATGACATGTTTTGATATGCAGTTTCAAAAACTATCTTATCCATTTTCAACTTCTCCAGTTTCATCTTATAAATAAACCTCTGATTGTTTAAAAATAGCCTTGACACTTCAAAGTCATGCTTTGCAGAAAAAAGAAAAAAAAAAATGAAAACTAAACTGTTCTTTTTGAAAAGGTACACATTTTGACTCATCTCTTTATTCACAGAGTCATTGACTATTATAATTGTGTGGAAAAAAAATTAAATTAATTTAATTTTAACATATCTTTAATGGGGCCATTTACAAAAGGGTACATTTTAGATTATTTGAATAATTGGTAATTTGGTGGGTTTGGCTTTGTATTAGGCAATAATAATCAAAATAATTTTTTGAAATATATATATTCAAGAAAATAATTTAAAGGACATTACTAGATAGATGGAATAATGTGAAAACATTAAAAATAAATTTTACATATTTTAAACATTACGAGACAAGACATAGAGAATGTGGAACATATTTGCTAAATGGAAACCATGATTATCTAATATCATAAAGAAATGTGATTTCAAACATTTAAATTAATTTCTTAAAAATTTAAAATTGTAAGAGTTTTGTGAAACACATGCCAATTATTTGAATGATACCCTTATTTTTTGTTTTCACATTTTAAATCTAAGCTGTTGGTTCTGTAATTTTTAATCTAATTTCAACAGATTGCAAATAAATAAAGTACCAAATTTTCACATCTAACAAATATCCAATAGAATATGAAATTTTTTAGGCATCACGAAATTTGTTTTATTATTTGAACAATGATGGTACAAGTACCACTCTTCCAGCCAAAAAATACCTATTACTTAATTCAATTGTTAAATAAACTATTGTTAATTTTTTTTATTTTTAATAACAAACTATTTTTACAGTAGATTAAAATAATATATGTATAATAATATAATAATATATTTTTTAAATGTATACATGTGTATTGTTATATTGATAGAGCTTTGGAATTACTATGTTTGTTTGTATAACAACATTAAAATATTATTATAGACATCAGGGTTTGTTAATAAAACAATATTATCAATATTAATATATATCATGTTTGTTTATATAAGAATATTAAATAAAAATTTATATAGACATTTTTTTATTACAGACATCACAAATGGATGTTATCTGATTTTATTAATTAATCTTATGTCTCAGAATAACAGGACCTTGTTAGATTGGATGAGTTTTGCAGAACTTACATTTTAAAATGTTAGCGGTTATGTGTGATGAATCTTGAAATGGATGATCACTAGTTACGAAGGGAACCACTTATACTAACACTTCAGAATTATAATTTCGATCTAAGCAGTTTAATAGAATAACAGAATGTAATGACAAGTTTTCACATCGGCGAATGTGAAAATAAATACAATTATTTATTGTTACTATTTTATTTTGATTGATCACCCCAACCATCCTTCTCTTCAATTATTCACTACAGTCAACCATCAACTTACAATTATGTATCATCTTTTGTGTTACTAAAGAATACATATAAGACTAACGTTTAAAAAATGTTCCTCACAATAAAAAAAATGTTTCCATCTACTGTGAGGTTTGTTACTATTTTATTGGTTTTTCGAAGAATTTTTCAATTCAGTATCTGTGTCTTGTGCTCGCTTAGAACAATTATCGTGATTTTTATAATATTCACAATAATTATTACTACTATCATTTCCATATGAAGAACTTATTATTATTTTTTCACATACTATGTTTTTTGACATAAGAACCATTTCACACATAACTTGGGTCTGAAAATAATAAATCATTCCAAGGTGATGCATTTTCAGGAGATGGAGTTCTGGATATGTGGGGATAGACTGGACTATAACAGTAAACAGAACCAAGAGATGCCACTGCTGGAATTCTATTCGGTATTCCTAAATGATGAGGAGTAACTCCAGAATATATATCTTTTGATAGTGAAGAGATGTGAAACCTTTCTGAAAGACTCTTCTTACGCCTATATCTTGGATCTTGAAAGTCTTTCAGACTACTGTAATCTCCTTCAAAAATTTCTTTGGCTTTCTGAAAAGCTGTTTTGTTTTCCTCTATTTTTTCATTATCTTTGTCTGTTGCATTTCTTGCTGAACTATATCTGGACGAATGTTGACTTAAGTTGTTCTCAATATACATTTCTTCATGATGCGTTTCAAATAGTTCTTTCCCTTTTGTTACAATACCTTTTACTTCCACATGGCATCCTTTTGTAATTTCGGTATCTTTTTTATAGGCACCACCTTCCCAGTACTTTTTCCATTCGTCAACAGACTTAGAGCCAGTCTCGATTGTTTTCGTTTCTTTACCTGAACCATAATGAGCTATGCGGACGAGAGTTGCTGCAGCTTTAGCAGCTTTGACTTTATCAGAACGATTTTTCTTATTGACGTGATAGACTTGGTCTCTTTCAAATAAATTTTTGAGTGATGTAGATAATGCATTCGACGATAGGGCACGAAAAGATTTATCACCACAAGATTTGGCTTTCCTTAGGCCCCGAACACTGAGGGACAAGATTCTATTGAAGTCAGGAAGAGACAGAGTTCTGAAACTTTCTGAGATTTTGTTGCCCTCTCTATGTCTCTTGCGTGGCAAATTACTTTTGGATTTGTTCTTTCTTGTTTGTAAATTCGAGTCACTCAATGAAGTTGAAAGCTGCTTAGAATTATATGTTTTTGTTGAGATTTTTTCGATGTCAAGATTGTTTATATCTAACTCGCGATCAGCAGTTGTTATATTAATATTGCTGCTATACTTCCTCAACATTTTATCGTTGTTAAAAATACCTTTACGTCGATGGTTCCGATTATTCTCCTTCTCTTCTGGACTCTCCTCAACCCTGTATATATCGTGAAGGAGCCTGATACCGGTGAGGTTGCGATGACACTTGGAGAGACCGAGGGTGAAAGCCAGATTGGAAGGATGATATTTTCTCCAATCCTTGTAGCCTTTAGCGGATTGGGAAACGAAGCAGACACCGTTGTCATGGGCAGTCCGAAAAGCGGCTGGGCTCTGCCCCAGGGCCCCAATTTGTCCCCGACTATCACACGGTTCGCTGCTAACTGAATCATCCCTTGCCGCCCTTTCCAATTTCGCGCTTCGTCGGTCGTTGTAACGCGATTCCAACTGGTATAAAAATTGATCTTCCCTTGAATGATTATGCTCGGTTAGCGACTCTTCCGTCGCTGCATATTCGCTAATAGTGATTATAGGCACTGAAATATTACATCTTGCGTCCAAGTTGACTATTGAATTATCGCAATCTGCTCCTAACAAGTTCAATAGTTTGTGATCGGTGTTCAATTCTTTAGAAAGGTTATTACTTAAACGCTGATAAGAATCTGAAGAGCTATTATTTTTGCTTAATTTTTTCACAAGACCTTCATTAGTGATTGATTCTGCTAAATTAGAAATATTTAGCGATTTAGTGTTTTCGGAAATCATAGAAGGGAAGTTAGGGCTGGTATCAGTCTTTTTATCAGTGTTATCAGGAGTTTCTACTGAAACGTTTTCTTGGATATCTGAGTTCTCTTTTTTAATGATGTATCTGTCACCAGATACAGTACCGTCTTTATTCAATCTAAACAATTGCCCATTTTCATCCATGTACATTTTTTCAGTGATGAAGTCCACGATTCCAGACAGTATGGGAGGTTTGACCGGAACGTCGTACCATAGTGAAGCTCCAAAGTTTCCCCTATATCCTGGAGGAGCCTCTTCGACCGTGAGGACGAAAGGGGACCCTGGAGCCGACCTGCCGAACCTAGACACCCTCAAGTAGTAGCGGCCTGGACGAGGAGCGACATAACCGACGAGGAGCATACTGTCCTTGAGCTTATACTCGAAATGGATGGTGGTAGGCCCTTCGCTACTCACCTCCAGGCCTTCCTGCAGAGCTGGGCTCACGGCGAACATGGCCCTTCGTCCGGAGTAGGCAGCTATCAGTCCGATCCCTCTTACTGTAACCTGGATGATAAAGAGTATCATGTATACGATTTAATGTAAATTGTGAAATATATGGCTATACATTTAATTGTAATGTAAAGTTGAAGTGAATTTGTCCTAATCTCGCTCAGTTTTATCTACTCACATTTTTTTTTTTTTATCAATGAGCCATATTAACAAAAATAGGACCAAAAAAAAATAAGATAAACAGATTTTACAAACTTAAGATGATACATCGATTCCAAAGCAATATTCTTAAAATAAGTTGTTTGATATTCCAATATTAAAACATTAGCTATGTTTTGTTCCAAAAACGACATCTATTAAACTACTGGGTCAACGTTTAAGGTTTTAGAGGTGCAGTGGGTGATAAAACAAAGGGCCATCACTTTGTGCCAACAGACAAACAGGTGACTACACAAGTGAAGCCTATTACACACATGCTCTGTTTATTTAGGGCTATACCAAAATACTTACAGACGGCGGTCGGTCCCGGTAGGTGTCCTGTAGCAACGGAACCTCGCTTTCACCCTTTCCACCTGCAGGCAGAAGTCAGTTATACATTTTAATTTATTTTTTTATCAGAACTAAAATACTATTCTAGCAGTTTTTATTTAATAAAGAAAATTTTATAAATTGTAAAAAGAAAAATCTGGTGCGCGCAACACACAACTTTTACTTACTCTTTGAATTTTGAATAAAAATTATTTTCTGGCCATGTTGGGCTGTTATAAAATGTTTTAAATTGCATTTTAAACTGAGCTAAATCTAACAAATCCTAAACGCTATTAAAATAACAAAAGCGCTATTTATTATATCACCGGTTGATCATGGATTGTACGATTCGTTGATTATGGATTGTTCGATCAATTTATGATGGATTTATTAATGACGACTATAAGTCATTAAACTGTTATTTTCCATTGCAAAGTTTATTAAGACGGAATTAAAAGATTTGCATTGTCTGTCATAGACAGGTCAAAAGTTGTCACACTAATTGTAAGTGGATTCTGTTGGAATATCGCAAAGAGAAAAATTATCAAATTATTCACTAATTTAATTTTCTAAAAGGTTACATGATGATTTTTCGGAATAAACGGTCGATAGATATCTAAATATTTAAATATATTATGAGATCTAGAGTTATTAAACTACAGTAAATATATTTAGGGTTATAAACGTATCTATGAAATATTTTTATATATCACTTCTTCTTTCACACAAGTACAATGAAATAGTAGTGGAATATCACAAAGGGAAGATCTATCGAATTATTCACTAATTTACTTTTCTAAAAAGTTATGTGACAATATTTTGGAATAAACTTTAATACCTAATTATTTAGTGAGAAATACTTTATTAAAACTAATGCTGCCCTACTACATAGGGTTACTTCGTACACAGCATACTTATCAATCCATATGAACATCAATTTTATATTATATTTTTCTTTTTTTTTCTCCACCTTCATAACAATACAATTACAAATTATCAACAATAAACCATATTAAACAATAGACATAGCATAATAAACACTTTCCCAAGATAAAAAAAAAATCCGTTTTTTCTCTTTAAATTCTGAAACGCCAGGAACGCAATACATCGCACACATATATAACACAGCAGTTCCTTGAATGTAGACAAAAAGATAAGACGATTGCGGACCAATTTAAAATTTAATAAATAATCACTAAACAGTAAATGTATTTAACATTATAAACACATGATTTATACATGCATGAAATGATTTTATATTTTATTTCTTCTTTCACACAAGTACAATGAAATAGTTTTTTTAAAAATTCCATTAACTTGCTTAGGTGGATTTCAAATACTTTCTACAGACGTAAAAATATTTTTTAAAGTTTACATTTTGTCAGTAAATTTCATTTAATTTCCTTGAAAGCATGTTCAGATTCAAAAATTTTCTCGATCGCAATATTTACCTTTACTATATATTACATATTTACGTGAGTGAAAGTAAAAAAATTTAACAACTTGAACAATTTAAATAACTAGACAAATTTAAATACAACTTTTTAATGTTCGTGATAAAAAAAAAATCTGGTGCGCGAAACACACAACTTTCACTTACCGCTCAACTTTACCTCGCTCCCCACGAAATTTGATTGCCCTCCTCTTATTATGAATGAAGCATATAAAGGTAGAATGATAAAATCATAGTTTAGTTTTTCATTTTTTCCTTGGCTTGGAAGTTTTCCTCAATCAACACTCCATAAAGATATGGTGTCCTTCAACAATTCACCATCCTGTAAATGTTAGACTCCCTAAAAAAATTTGAGCTCTTGAAATAAGCTCTTTAAGTAATTTAGAAATAATGATGGAGCTTGAGCCATGGTACCCCTTTCTTGCCACCTCTGCATGAGAAATTGTAAGTAAAAATGAATAATAAATCCATACTTGAGAATCGAAGTTTCAAGTTTTTTTTGCAAGAGTAGAGGACACACCAGAAGAAATGAAAAATTGTGAATGAGTCCTTTGATATATATATATATACACACACACACACACACACACACACACACACACACACACACACATATATATAGCCGTACGGACTAAGGCGCTTGCAATAGATAATCAACGTTAAGCAAGGTCGAGCGTGGCTAGTACTTGGATGGGCGACAACCCAATTTGGGTTGTCGGACTGATGACCCTACTCCGTGTACTCAAATTGGGAATCGGGGTGTGGCTTACCAGGATGTCGGTAGCTCCTCTGAGGTTCAGTCCATGGACGGTCTCTTCGCAGAAAGAAATATACGTCCTCGTGCGCCTGCTGACTCCGAGCAGCCATAATGCATGGATCTAGTTCCATTTATCACTGTCCAGGTGGGAAGGACAATGCCAAATTGGTCCCAAAAGAGTTCGGCTATGGAGCTACAGATGGCCTGCCGCTGCAGCAAGACCATGGTACGTAGCAACGTGAGGTTGGGTGACCCCCTCCAGACTATTTGAGCTCCCACAAGCAGCATACATCTGTAAGGAGACCACATCTGGCGGCCGAGACCACATGTTGCGTCAGACATTGTTGCGTAGTTTGTTTAGAGATGGTCTCGAAAACGTGTTTTTTTGTGTCGTCCAGTGCCTACACTAGAATGTGACTTTCTAAGTTTCGCAGCCCACCATGGAGGTCATAGTTCTGTGTGGACTGAGTTGCTGCTTAGTACTAATTACAAGTGAAAGAACGCGGCAATGTAAACGTTGGTGGATGCGCAAAGTGCTTTCAAAAGGACATAGATTCGGTAATGCTCTATCAAATAAATGAAAACTAGGGGACGCAACCTTAATCTTCAATTAGTTTTAAAACTTTCTGGATTAACCACAAGTTTTCAAAAGAACTTTAAAACTTTGAACCTGATGATACACCTAAACCAAGAAGAGGACCCGCTAAAATTGTGAACTCTAAGGTTTCTTTTGCCCAGCTACTTGGGGGTAGAGACCCGACTAATGAATGTGAGGCCCTGCCGCAAGAACAAACTCAACCCCAATCTCAATATCCTATCCCACCTAATATACCTAATCAACAACAACCTCACCAACATCAAATCCAATATGTTCCTCCACCGCCTAATGCTACAGATCTAACCAGCTTATTGACATCCTTTCTTTCAGAATTTAAATCCCTTGTTACCCCACTGATATCACTTCTCACTAACCTAGTACCTCACCTTATCCCTCCTTTAAAAAATCCTTAAATGACTTCCATCAAACCCATATCCATTCTCCTTTGGAATGCGAATGGTGTTAGAAATCACATACACGAACTAACAGCCTTACTACAAGACAAGAACGTAGATGTAGCCCTAATAACGGAAACTCGACTGACTAAAAAACAGCTCCTAAAAATACCACAATACATAACTTACCGTACCGACCATCCTGACGGTAGAGCACATGCCGGTACTGCAGTCATTGTGCACCAATCCCTCTCCCATCACCTACTCCCACTGCCTACACACGATTTCCTACAATCCACCGCAGTCGTAATCAAAACCTTCTCCTTTCCTATTACCGTTGCATCAGCGTATTGCCCTCCAAACCAATCCATCTCCAATATCCAATTTAGTTCCTTCCTCATTTCCTTAGGACATCATTTCATCTTGGGTGCAGACTTAAACGCCAAGCATCAACAATGGGGTTCAAGAACCACGAATTCTCGTGGTCGAACATTGCTGTCTGTACTCAATTCCCAAAATTTTACCCTTCTTCCACCCAACTCACCTACCTACTGGCCCACTGATCCTAACCGTAATCCCGATATCCTCGATTTCTTTATCCATAATGGTTTAGGTGCTCTCAACCATTCCGTTGCCCGTCTTGACGAGCTTTCCTCAGACCACAGCCCATTAATACTCCAAGTATCACTAGCTCCTATTCCTAAACCCTCTCCTCCGTCCTTCATCAGAGGCCCAGTTAACTGGAAACTCTTTCATCAAATCCTCTCCGATAAAATTGACCTCAGAGTAACCCTGAAAACCCCTGAAGACCTGGACAATGCAGTACATTCCTTCACTACCAAAATTCAAGAAGCAGTCTGGACTGCTTCCTCCCCTGATCACTCCTCAAAAATCCTTAAGAAACATAATTTACCTCAACACCTCCTTGACCTAATCCACATAAAACGCCGTGCCAGATTATTATGGCAACGTACCAGACATCCAGCCGACCGCCACTCCTACAATTATCACTGTAAAAAATTAAAACAAGAATTAGCCACCTTCAGATCCCAATCATTCAATTCCTACCTCACCACACTCTCTGCTCATGATAATTCCCTTTGGAATATCACCAGAAAAATCCTCAAATCCCATCATATTTCCCACCCTCTTCGACGAGATGATGGCTCCTGGGCAGCATCTGATGAAGATAAAGCCGAGGAATTTGCCAAACACCTTTCCTATACTTTCGCTCCTCATCCAGAATCCCATCCCAGCCACACAGTAAAAGTAGAAGAATCCCTCTCAATACCTATCCCACTCTCCTTACCACCTAAAGCTGTTAATCCCTCTGAGGTCAAATACCTTTTACGGAAAATCACTCCTCGCAAATCTCCTGGATATGACCTTCTAACCCCACAGATCCTTCGACAACTTCCATCTAAAGCCATCATATTTCTTACATATATATACCATTGCATCCTACGAACTACCCTCTTCCCTCTTTTATGGAAACATTCCACCATCGTCCTCTTCTTGAAACCAGGCAAACCTTCCAACAATACAGCATACTATAGACCAATTAGCCTACTCCCAATCCTCTCAAAGATTTTTGAAAAGATCCTACTGAAACGAATCCTACCTATAATTGAATCCTATAACCTTCCTACTCATCAATTCGGATTTCGTTCCCAACATTCCACTGTCCAACAAGGACTCCGAGTTGTTGACCATATATCCTCAACCCTAGAAAGCAAGCAGTATTGCTCGGGTGCATTTCTGGACATAGCGCAAGCTTTTGACCGGGTATGGCACGCCGGATTACTCTTCAAGCTTAAAATCCATCTACCACAGTCCTTATACCTAGTACTCCGATCCTATCTTTCCGACCGCTCCTTCCGAGTTCGCTGTGGCACCGAATTCTCCGACTGTTACTCAATTGAGGCTGGCGTTCCTCAAGGCAGCGTCTTGGGCCCCATCCTTTACATTCTCTTTACCGCTGATATTCCTGCCCATCCCGATACCCTCCTGGCAACTTTCGCTGATGACACTGCTATCCTTTCTTCCAACTCAGATCCTGAAACAGCGTCCGCAAACTTACAAAGGCACCTCTTCCTGATTGAACACTGGTGTAAGAAATGGCGCATCAAGGTAAACGAATCTAAATGTAAACACATTACCTTCACCCTTCGGCGTAATACCTACCCACCAGTTTATTTTAACTCCATCCCGCTTCCTTCCTCAGATACAGTCCGGTATCTTGGCTTTCTCTTAGACAGACGACTAACATGGAATCCACATACTAGACTTAAAAGACAGGAACTTAACAGACGATATGGCCAGCTATATAGACTACTGAATATAAAATCTAAACTTTCTGGTGAAAACAAATTACTGATCTACTAGACAATACTGAAACCCATCTGGACCTACGGACTAGAACTATGGGGAACAGCCAAAATTTCTAACATCAAACGCATTCAATCCTTTCAGTCTAAAGTCCTCCGTACAATAGTCAATGCTCCCTTCTATGTAACCAATAAAACCCTACACCATGACCTTAATATCCCATTTATTCTTGATCTTATCCCAGCCAAAATTTCCAAATTTCACCAGAACCTTTCTCATCACACAAATCCCGTTGTACAATCCCTATCAAGCACCACCCATCCCTACAATCCCCTTCGTAGGTTAAAGCGGCAGTGGCCACGAGACCTTTTGTAAATATGGATATTTTGGAGTTCTAGCAATGGCCAGATTCTCCACTCAAGTCATGAGTGTCTGTGGCTGTAGCGCTCTTACTCATCCTCTGCTGGTTTAATATACCAGTGAAGTGGCTGAGGGAGAAGCGTAGGGATCTCCTAAGCCTCTCTTTTCCCTCCACATGTGGAGGGGACAGGATTGGTTCGGAGATCACCTGGCAAATTGTAAATAATGTTATAGGTATGTTTTATATAAGTTGTTTGTTTTACTTTTATTTCTATTTTTATTTACTTATGTGTATATATATATTTTTTTTTCTTTACTCTTTTGTTCTTTTTTCTTATTCTTTTGTTATTACTTTATTTATTTATATTTTTGTATATACGGTATGAATGCAATCTCTGAACTCTATTATAAGTGTCCTTAAACTGTGACAAATTGTAATATTTCTGAATAAAGTGTTTTAAATTAAAAAAAAAACTTTGAAATATAACTGTAAACATCCGAACCAACTACTCGTTAGTTGGAGGCAGATTGGGATGTGTCTCGTCTTTATACACCGAATGACGTCCACACTGTCAAATGCTGCGAAATATGTCTAACATTGCACCTACGATTTTTGGTCTCGCAACAGGCCTGTAGACGGAGATTGGTTTACGCAGACAAACTGAGACATGTTTCAGAGACCAATATCGCGCAACATGTCTACTAGACCAACATATTAATATAAATAATAACATTTTAAATAATTATAAAACAAATCTAAACTTTATTTATAAAAATTTAACTTTTGATAAATTAAGGTTGATTAAAAATAACTTAAGGTTGATCGATCCTTGTACTTCGTACAATTTGTTAAAACCTCGTACAAATACGAGGAGACCTGTACAAACGATAAAACTGGTATCTGGCTGTAAGCATATGATAATGGAAGGTTATATGCAGTTTAAACTTAATGTGATTTATTTGAAATGTTTTGTTGGATTAATCTGTTTAGTTTCAAATAAAATTAGTAAAATGTATAATTTTAGTAAAAAAAAAAGTTCGCTTATTTTCTTATGAACCTTATGAGGAAACTATAATGATTTACTAGGCAGACGTTTATTAATTTTAATCTGTTTTATTTAAATTAATAATACAACCTGACATTGTTCAGAACATGTGAACTTGATATAGGTACTTCATTCAATAAACAAGATAATAAATAAAATAAATATTGGATTGTTCACATCCAATATTTAGGTACATCTTATCACAAGACCAAATCAGTCCTCAAAACCATTCAACAAAGACCATTTGTGCTTATATATTTCCAAGTTTTCCCGCATACTTAGGACCTTTTCCTTAGTTTCCTTAAAAAGCGCCGCTACTGCTCTAGGCGAAGAAGGCTCAATGTGATCGTTTTCGTCACACCCAAGAAAGATCCTGCTTATGCTTGAGGAACTGAAATGATTTATGAAATACCAAGACGAAGAAGAAACCCAATATGCGTCCAAATCCCTAACATCGACGCCGGCCTGAAGTATCGCCTTGAACTGCTGAGTTATGAAGAAAGGTATCTTGGTACAAATGAGGTCACCGAACGTGAAGTGCACCCAAGTCCCCGCTAATATCGGAGGTACAACGCTTACGAGATTGTTCCTGCAATATTCAGCCAGAGCGCCGAGGTCTTTGAAGAAACTGCTCATAGACTCTTCTTCATTCTTAGTGTTCTTTGCTTCATAGATGGTAAAGAACCCTCTACTTTCGTGGCAGAAGAAGAGTTTCCTTGAGATGAATGATCTTCGAATCAGAACATGGCCGTTGTTGAGAAGGGCTTCCGCTCGCTGGAGTGCCTGGATACACTGAATATTCCTAAGGTCTATGAATTCTTCTTGAAAGAAGAGTTTGATCATGTAAACTCTAAGAATTCTGATAAGAAATATTGTTAAGGCCATACTAAAATTCACGAAGATTCTTATATTGGAGTCCAATAGTAATTCGGTCATTTTCAGAGGTTAATATTTTGTGAAATACTATTTTCAGCATTAAAAAATTGAAATATATCCATATGACATTTAATAAAATCGAATTCTAATTGCGATATAAACTGTATTGCGAATCAAACTCTATATATGCTACATGGAAATTTAATTTTCACAACTGTTTTCCTATTAAATTATTGACGGAAGCTAGTCGAGTGTACTACATAGCACTGAAGTCTTTCAAGTACCCAAACAAAGTACTTAAAAGCCTTCAGTGCTCGAACCATGCCATGAAGATGACCCGTATGTCCCGATTGAAACGTTCGCATAAATAAAAAAAAAAAATATAATGACTGCGTCCTGACTATTTATCACACATGTTTCCTATTGATTTAAATATACGAAATTAATAACATAATCGAAATATTGTTCTAGTTTCCTTTCTCTTCTCCAAGATGGCGGCTGGAATCACGATCACTCAGAGCCAGTGTTGCCGTTTGAGATTTTAATGTATTGTAGGAGGTACGAAGGTCGACCAAGCTTATACCTGGTACATCATTTTTGCTTACGTATGCAAAGTTATATCTTTATGAATAAACTTTAGGTTAAGTTTACAATTATTTACTACTTAACAATTGTTGCTGTATAGACAAATAAATTGCAATTATATCTACTTTCATTGAAGTATGATTGTTATTTTTTTCATAAAACTATGATTGCATAGGTATATACATAAATGTTTTGAATTTTCTAGTTATATAAAATTTGATACTGTCATTTAAAAAAAAAATAATATTTGTTAAATTTTATCAATTTCAGCAATATGTTATCTAGTTCCGAACTTTTTCTAATTATGATAGTAATATTGAATTCTTTAAAAAGTTTATTTTGTTAAATAAAATTTTAAAGAAAGTTGTCCAATTGTTTCTAAAAATATATGCACTATTATATATGTTTTATAAAACTTATTTCTTACCACGGGCGGATCTACATGGGGGAGGAGGGAGCGAGCTTTCGGGATGAAGCCCCCCCAAAATGGTAAAATATAACCATGCTTTATGGAAAAAAATTATCTCTTAAAGTATTATTGTTCGTTTAATTACATTTAAAAGGACTTTAGGAATCATGTAAACAACATTATTATTTATTTATTTATATATTCCACCCACCCATGCCACAATGGCAATACTGGTGTTTGCGATAGTGTGTTATTCCCAATTGGGACATTCTTCAAGAAGGTGAATAAATTAACCAAAGTCATGATTATATAATTAACCTAACCTAAGAACTTCAAGAAGAAAAAAATAGTTTCGATATATTTTTTAAAATTCTTTATTGAGAAATATTACAATAAATAATTAAAAAAAGTATTAAAACTATTTTTTTATTCTTGAAGTTCTCAGTTTATGATAATTATATGATTATGATTTTTATTCATTTATTCATATTCGTTTTGATATTGAATTATTTTGATATTAAATTATTGGACGGTTCGATTCAGTTGAATGAAAATAAAAGCACACAAAACAAATATTTTATGAATAAATGTCTTTTGTGCCATTATTTAGAATTAATTAATTTCCAGTAATATCTCGGGTAATTATTTGACTGTCAAATAATTACTAATAGGGAATACTAACGAAGGGGACTCATCAATCAAGCGAGCTGACCACAAGATAATCAGATAAATGACGTATTAGGCCAGCAGATTATTCCTTGATAGATATTAGCTGGCCCAGGTGACTGCCTCATTTCATATTATCTAATCTTAATTACCTGTCAACCAACTTCTTCTGACAAGAAATTGTATTGATTCAACTATGTTCTGATGATGTATACTTTAAAAATAATATTAAAAGAGTGAGCAGCAGAGAACCTAGGATCACTAATATGATTCTTTCAGCTCATCTTTTAAAAACTCGTTTCGTAATGGAGGAATAAACTTTCAAGGTTATTCTTTATTCCAGACAATTTTCGCATCATACAGAGGGTGCCCGGAACCTTGGGATTTCCTTGGACGGAAGACATCAGCGATGTTATTCCGTGGGGTTTCAGGGCAAGTGGGAGGCTTATACAGACCATTTACTCGGAAGTCACATTTCTCAGATGGTCTATATAAGCTGGAGAGACGACGAAACCCCACAGATTTTTCCAAAGGTTTAATATTTACATATTTTCCTGCAATCATAGATTCATTAGTGAAACATCTTTTGTCCAATAAATTTAATAAATGTGGGAATACAGATTATATCATAAGGTAGTGTTTGTAAGGAGAAAATACTCTAACGACTGTTATAGTAAACAATCTTGATGCCATTTTCTAAGCTGAAGTCACGGAAGATTAATAGGAATCGATCGGGAAGCAATGTTACAAGTTAGTAGGTTTATTTTGGCTTGAAGTCTGAAATGAAACTATATACAAACATTGCCCCTCAGAAGAAGGGGCGAGAGAGGTGGCATGTTATCGAAACCGGGGTTTGGAGATTTAAGACAGCTTAAAGCTTTATATGTTGTTAAAAATTGAAATATGACATATCTTTCGTAATTATAAAGAAAATATTACGTAGTTTTAAGACTTTAGATACAAACTGTTACTTACATACATTATCGTATTTTTTCTTCTTACCAAAATAATAAATTGCCACTATTTGCATATTGGTTCATTATTTCCTATTCCCAATATACCGGATGTCTTACTTTCGGATGAAAGACCAATATAAAAATTGTTTCCGATATGTTCGTGAGTATTGATCATATTAAGATTATTTTATTTTCATTGCTTAGCTTTGTAGAAAAGTGGTGCATCTCAGTAAGTATGGCGTTGTTCTGTGTTCAGGATTCAGGGTTGTTTGCAGATCGGTACCGTGGATCGATCCCAGGATCCGAAGACCTTTCTGAGGCACAATTTATTATTTTATTGAATTATTTGTTAAAAAAACTAAATTATTTTTTATATGTCATCTAACTAGAGTGTACCGAAACATGAACAATTTTCGAATTATAAAAAAAACATACATGAACGGGTTTCTACCACGACATTCGCATAAGTCCTACTTTAAAAAGCATGTTTGCAATGTTAAAACACTAGTTGATTGATAAAATGATATAGATGATTTTTTATTTATTTCATTTGTTACTCAAGGAATTTGATTATCTTCCAAATCAATTTGCCATTTCAGTATTCTGTGTTTTACATTTAGCATTTTTATATTATTCTGTGAATAATATTTACAAAATATGAAGTTATTAAAAAATAAACATGCCTTAAATGTAATCGATCGTACTAACTACTAATTATTTTTATTATATTTTTAATTAGTGTTAAGGAGATGAAATGATGCAAATAAAAAATTAAAACATTAAAGTGAATCCTTACTCTTTGCGTTATCTGTCTCAACAGATGTGAAGAGTGAGGTCTTGAGCCAATATAACAAATCAACAACTAATCCCAATAGAAGGTACAGCAACAGTAGAAGTTCTTCAAAGGTACCTAAAACATTGATAAAATATTATTATTTTTTTACTATAGTGATTATACATTATATTTACTAATATTTCCTTCACATACTAACATTACATTATTTTCTAATATTAAATAATATTTCTTTTACGTAACTTTTGAGCATTTCAGATGAGCAGCCCTGACGAAGCCATTAGACTTAGGCCGAAACTTCGGCAAATAAGAAAATTCATCTTAACCGCATTTCAAACCAACAAGGTCATCAATATCTCTATGATTGTTTACTGATATACTCGTAGTTACAGTATTTACCATGATAATTATATTTACCATAGCTATTATATTTTAATCGGTGAGTGCAGAAACCGCTTCAGTCACAAATTTAAAAATTTTCAGGAGAGAGAAAAACGTCATAACTCCTCCAAATTTTCAAATATTTGAACTTTCTTTTTTTCCCCTGTCATAACATGAATTTATGTTGCCGTCATGGAAAAATGATCAATTTTCGACTTAAATTACGCTCAGGAAAACTTATAATTTGATTAGGACTTGTTTAAAAAACTAAATTATTTTTTATATGCCATTGTGACATTTTATATGAATTTATGTTGCCGTCATGGAAAAATGGTCAATTTTCGACATAAATTACGCTCAGGAAAATTTATAATTTGATTAGGACTTATGGTGTTTCTGCACTCAACTATTTTTTTACGTTCAGCCGAAAAATGTTATATATAGCAAATATATATTTTTTAATAAATATATATATTTTTAATAAACAAGATTATTCATTAATAACTTTTTGTGAAAATATTTGCATTCACTTGTGTAAATTTAAGCGTATTCATTTTAATTAACGTGAATACTTTCGTTTTCACTTTTACAAGTGTAAATACAAATGCTTGGGAATTTATTTTACTTACAAACATTACGAGTGATAATTAACATAACATAATACATTGTGACATAATTAACATAACATATTATAAAACGGAGATTATAATATTCTTTATAAAAATAAAAGTATACTTAGAGTAAATATATATTTTTTTAAATAAATATATATTTTTAATAAATAAGAATATTCATTAAGAAGGTTGAGTGGAAATATTTCTATTCACTTCTGTAAATTTAAGCGTATTATTTTTGGTAAACGTCAATACTACCGTATTCATTTTACTAGTGTAAATACAGCCATATTCACTTTTACAATCGTGAATACGACCGTAAATAAGTACCATAAATATAAATGGTATTCGTATTTATATTTTTAAATATAAATATGCCCATCTCTGCGGGTCATGCGATCCAGCGGTGTGTGCAGAAATCACGTCAGTCACTGACTCAGGTTATTTCTACGCTCAACGATCGAAAAAAATGTCAGGTATTTACGGAACTACTCAACAGACTAAAGTGGTTCTTGCACTCAACAGACATCATATCCTTTTCAGTTCATTTAGAATATTTTCTGACATGTTTTTTGTTGTTTATGTTTTGTTTAAGTTTATTGAAGGGAGAGGGGAGGGCTTATATCGTTGGTTATGAATGATTTCTTGTACCTTTGGTATGTAAGAGTCTGTATATAAAGTTTTGTAATTGACAAATTACGATGAATGAGTACGAGTAAAAGTCTGTGTTGAATATTAAGTATTTCTTTAGTGCATCGTAAATATCTAAGTGTAGCCACACGTCGTTTTAGTAAATTAGTGTCATAATTTAGTTCCTCTGATTTTTGAAATTCCAAACTTAATAAAAAAGATGTCTAGTTTCTAATGTAATCGGTTTTAAGTTGCATTAATAGAGAACAACTACAAAATGTAAGAACCCAAATTAGGATCTTGCTGATTTGTACTTACAAATGCAATTAAA